ACCTTCCCAAGGCCAGGAAGTTGGAAGCATGATGGAAGATCAGATTCAGTTGAACATGACAAAAACAGCAAAACTGTTCCATTTTTAAACATTTAGACTCTAAGATAAACACATTATAAATGTAGAAACGTTACCATTTAATAAATCATGCCTATGTAAGTAGGATTCTATAGGTATTTTTATTTTTTGGTTTTTTGCATTTTTTTCACACAAAAACAAATACATACCTAACCATTTTTTGTTCTAATTCTTATTTGTGGCTATAGAAGCAATAAAATAAGGTACCTATATATGTCCCATGCGCAAAAATGCTGTAGACCGGTGTAATTTATCGAAAATGTTAAAGGATTGGTCGATAAACCTATAATTTCCGATAATCTATCGATTAATCTCACAACTAAACTATTAAGATAGATAATTATCGAGAGAATTTTTAACGACATAAACTTTTCAATGTTTAGGTACCTATACCAGTTTACTTCCAACAAAAGCGATGTAAGAGCATTGTTGAGTTGCCATATGATCACAATTCACAACCTACTGCTGTACTCATTTTTGAGGATTATCGTCCACTTGATCACCTTTGATTTCAGACAACTTGAGCATCAAAAGATCCTGTTTTATTTAAATTATCTCTCGCAATATCAATACCAAAAAAACAAAAATGTTTGCGAGTGTACGCATGGATGATGTAATATATCGATTGAGAATATATATCGATGAGATTTATGAAAAAGTATCGATAGTTTTCTCTTGATAATTTCCGCTACTTATTTATTAATCGATAAATATCAGAGATAGACAATTTTCGTGGCAATAATAATCGATTATTATCAGCAGCTAACAATCATTATTAATTATTTTTCAAAGTTATCGATAATTATAAAAAGTTATCGATAATTATCAAACGTTATCGATCATTATCGAAAATTAGCGTTACGATTTATCGATAATTGTCGATTATTATCGAAAGTTAACGATAAGTGATTAAAGTTATCGATAATTATCGATAGTTATCAATTAATGATTAATCGATAATTATCATACTGAACAGACTTATCGATAAATCGATAACAATTTCATTTATCGCTCAGCTCTAGTAGGTATACGAATTCACGTAAACTGGGACCGATTTATTTGTGCACAATGCTGCATGGTTACAAAAAAAGCTGATTCGCGAAATTTAGTTATCAAATGTGAATGTGGAAATGATGTAGCTGCCTGCTTGCAACGGACAATATTTTGCCTTAAAATTTTTTTTGATCGTTTTTTAATAACAAAATCTCCCGCTTTCAGCAAAAATGTGGAACCTGCCTATTTTACTGCCTGTGAATAGAATGTATGAAATTGCATTCCTTCAAGGACAAGGACTGCAAGCTTCGTTCGTCTAAATGTATTATTATTTACATTACAAATTTACGCAATGCTTCTTAAGGGATCTATTTTTAGAACATTCCAATC